GGTAACATATTGATGTAAGAATTATGAGAAATCAAGTGTACCCAAGGCTTTACCACTCTCAGGATGGCACTGGGTAGGCGCCAGGAATTTGAAAAAAAGTTGAGCCCGCTCTTTACATGACTCTGAATTTCGTGCCATATGGTCATCTATGCGTGGCAAACAAGTCAATCTAATGTAGTGGGAAAGCTCAGAAAAAGGTTGTCAGAGCATAATGTCACATTTTTCTCAGTGCTTTGCCCTGTGCTTCTTTTAGACGTTGGCCGTTTATAAACCAAATTTGGAGTCATGCTATTATATGTGCGCAGTAAACGAGGCGGTATAAATAGTCGCAGAGGAAGTATAGTTACTTAGATTCGCGTTTTGTGATGAGATACATATGTTTGGACAGCTTGGAATGCTGATTCCAAATCTGCTCTTATTAGCCGCTGAGCATCATTGTGAAGCGAGTTATGGTCTCGTTTATGTGCAAAATTTGCGTGCTCATCGACTTACTGACGCTGCGTTTTCGACTTCTGGATGGTTCTGCAATACCTAATGCTCCGTTTCTAGATTAACAAGCTTAATCTGATGCTACTTCAACATCCCAGCACCTCTGTTTGAGCAGATTCCCATCTACAGCCCATGTTATCATATTCACAAATATGTCAATTGCTCACAATAGCAAGCTTATAACTCGCTTCAGAATGAAGCTCAGCAGCTAGAAACACTATATTTGGAATCAGCGTTCTAAGCTGATTCCAAATATTTGTGTGTTCATACAAAAGGCGAATCTAAGTTAGTATCCTCCTCTTGCCAGTGGAAAACTGCAATTTTTGAAAGATGACGCGCGATGAAGATCGTACTCTAGCATGTTAATCGTGTAAACCATGTTGAGGGGATGTTTATGTGTGTACAAACGTGTATTTACGACATTCCCCTTATTTGCACCCTCGAACGTGAGTCCGGCTCGAAGTCAGTTTGACTTGCTGCCCTCGTGCCGGTCACTGGCTCTAACCACCACCCTACGGAGCAACCGGAAAATTTCCACCTTAACTGTCGCGGGGGTTGCC